GATCTGGAAGGCAGTGTGCTGCTTGGGGAAGGATGTGTTGCAGGGGTTGGAGCAGACAAAATGCAAGTTCTTGCAGTTGAAACAAGGAGTTGTGCTGGAGGAAAGCTCAGAGGCAACGATGCTGCCCCAGGGCGAGGTCTGAGTATCTCCATAGGCAGAGCCAGAGGAATAGGTACTCTCATCTGGCTAGTGGTACGTGGCGGATGGAAATCAGAGGCCAACTCTCAGATGATACTTCAGATCATCCTCCTATGGAAGATGGATGGCAAAGCAGAGCTGGCATCAGATAATGAATGAGATGATAAGAAGTTTTCCCTGATAGCCAGGGATAGCACTCGGTGACTCAGGAGGTCCTCACCTGTGTTGTGACTCAGGGCAAAGTATAAAGTTTCAGCTCTTTGTATTTGTCCTCCTGTTACTAATCCAAAGAGTATTTCTTGGTGTTGAAGCACCAGGCCTAACAATTATGAAGATAAATAGGTGCGTCTGTTCCCTCCCTTTTTCAATGTATTATACATGGGAGTATCTTAAGGAAGCTTGTAAATCTAGACACAGTGAATTTTTGATATTACAAGAATATTTTTCTGTCTTGGGCTAACCGCTATGAACCACCAAGCCTCTAACCTTCATCTGCCCACACACACAAACCTCCCAGATGAATAAAATGACAGTTTCAACTCGCTAGTAACTTGTTTGGGACTGTAGGCTAAAACTGAGGGAAACTTTCTGCTCAGGTGGGTAACCATCCCGTCCTGCCGTGAAGGCTCCAGGAATATCACACAAGGGCCAACTGAGTCCTTCAGGCTGCCCCCCAAACTCCCTTCCCTGGGTGCTGTAGGAGGCAGAGGCAATGGGCAGCTCCTCCTCCTGTGTGCTGGAGGACTTGGAAACCAGTGCTCAGAAGAATTGCTGGTGTCAGTGAAAAACTGCAGGGCAGCAGAGAGTATACACTCCTATGAGGGGGGGAGCTGCAAAGGCAATTTGGCTGCTAACCACCCCAAACCATTTTACCCTCAGGACTGCAAGTATATTTTGGTATACCATTTTTGCACTAGACTGGATTTTTCTTTTGAACATCCGTTCTTGTTTCTTTCTTCTTTTGAGGCTTCATTCTAACACAACCTGAGAAAATCTTCCATTCTTCTAATTTGCCTAATGTCAGCAAGATTTTATTACTTCAAACACTTTTATTTAAGAAGAAAAGAGGGAGAGTAAAGGGATAAAAGCTTATTTGTATTAGTACTTCATATAAGCTTCAGATATGAGCATGGCAAGTATGGATGTGCTTGTCAGGACAGGGTGTGGTTAAATCGGGACTGCTTACCAAAAAGCAGTAATGCTTTACAGAAGTGAGGTGAGAAAATTTCCATATAGGGGAAAAAAAAAGAATGGAAAACTGGAAATAACAGTGCAAACCCAAATGTGTTTTACAAAACTTTGGTCCATCCCCACTCACATTGAGGTAAACTATAGACTAATTGGTGATACAAAGTATGTGTATATGTATATGCCTTTATGTAATATTTTTCCTTCATTATTTTTCTGGTTTGCATTTTACTTATTTCTTTGATGTTTTGCTAAGGACAAGGCTCTAGAGCGCTAGTTACTTCATAAATAAGAAATGGGGAGCTGAACATGTAACCCAGATCTACAGTCAATAGTTGAGTGAATCTGCTTCTTTTGGATTTACGTTATTCTGTGGAAAAATCCCACAGGCAGCACCTCTCTCTCTGTTTGAACTGCATTTTAACAATCAAGAGCTATTTAAAGGGCTTTGTGATGGGTTCTCCATGGATACCTAATATAATTTCTTTTAGTATTATACGAACATTAGAGTAGGTTATCATAAAACTGTTTTTACAGGAAAACAGATGGCTTAGGCAAACAGTGGCACAAGTAAAATGATGTATCATAAAAGCTATCCAAGAGAGGGCATTTTGATCTACTCTTACCACATTTATGATTAAAAGTAAAACTATTTTGAAAGTTGTTTCTGTAAATCCTCCTCACACCCAGCAGTCACATGCAAAATTCTATGATGCATCCACATTTTCACTCTGATCATAAAAAAAAGAAAATCAAAATTGAAAACATTTACTACATCACTTCACATGCAGGAAATCTGTGGAACTAACCAGTGTGTGTAGATGGGCATATGAGCCCTGATGTATTAAGTCACTTAAGGAGCAGTCCATGTAAACAGCACTGATGACCCCATTAGAACCATCTGCAACCTTAAGGTTATGCAGGTGCTTTTCTAGATTTTGGCACTTAGAACTGAAGAACTTTGCAGGTAAAATTTGGCCCAGACATTATTATGCAGCTGTAACAAAGTAACAATTTTTCTTGAAACCAAAATTCCTAGCAAAAGCAGTATTTTGACAATGAGGAAAAGGATAAAGGAAGATCCATGTGACTTAGTCTCTCTCCATTATTAACTATACAGCAGTCTTTCAATTCTCAGTTTTGAATTTCCAATATGACTCAGAAGTAACTCTTTGGTTGTTCAGTTCACTATCCTTCTAGCAAGACGGTTTGATTCCTCCTTTCCAACAGTGTATAAATAGGCCAATTCTCTTCTTCTTTATCACAGACTTGATTGTTTAATTATTTTCTTAAACCTACTCATCTTCAGAGAACACAGAAAGCCACTGAATATAGAAATGTGCAAGGAAGCGCTCCAAGAAACTGAATTACAAGAAGTAATAACTGTTGCACGACTGAGATGTGTCAAAGGAAAAGATGAATCTTTTTACTGTGACCATGTTGTGTATCTAACAAAATGTGATTTAATTATGACCTAGATTCTGCTAATCTTACACACATTTAATTGTCCTTTATTCTGGGAATGGCCCTGTCTGCTGTAACTCTTGTTCTTTACCTCGTACAGACCAGTGTCCTATTTCAGAAGTTATGAGATCTGAAATCAATGGAGCATCCCATAGAGATACTATTGATTCTGAGCACATGTAAAAAAAGGGTTTGTGCTTCCAGGATGAAATGTCAGCCTCAGGAAAATCAATAAATGTTTTTGCAGATGATGTCAATGGGGTCAAAACTTCACTCACAGTATTATCTCATACAACAAAATATGTAGAACTTTAATACAGTTGCAAACTAGGTTGCATTTGAGTTATTGATTAAGCAGACTGTATTTTGAGACCAAATAGCAGATGCCTGAAAAATGTATAGTGAAATATGGAAATATGTGCAGAGAAAATTTAAAAGATGTCCGCATGTTATATGAGCTCCGGCAGAAACAGCAGAAATTGAACTGAGCATATTAACTTACCAGTAGAAAGTTTTCATTATTTCTTTTACTTCAGTTTGTACTTGTAGGGCTGCTTGACGTTCCACTTGTTTTCAGCACAACTTTTCCTTTGCTTTTCAGTAGTATAGTTGGATTAGATAAAATGTGTTTATTGGAGGATGTTTCCCTAATTCTTAATTTGTCAGGAACAGCAGCACTGCCTTTGGCAGTCAAGTCTTTACTTCTGTTGTAGCAGACCTAATGTTCTCAAAAGCCAAATCTTGCAGACATGTGTTCTTTCCTGATCTGTCTTTAGCATTGCCATTGGGCACGATGAAACTTAAAGTCTTTTATTGTGGTGGTCTTAGTGGTTAAGTGACCTTTCTCTTATAGGTGAGACTCAGAGCAAGAACTCTGACAGAGATGCAGAACTAACAGGATGTCTTCCCTTCCGATTTCTCCTTTGCTTGAAAAGCCAAACTTTCTGATGGTGACTTAGCTCAAATGAATCTAACAATTTGGTTAATTAATAATCTACTTGACCTGGCTGTAGACTGATTTAACTATTTAGTTGATAACCTACCTGGTTGATATCCTACTTAGTTAATACTCTGGTTGAGGCATGTCCTTGGCTCCTGGATTCAGCTTCCTTTTCTGTCAGAACTGGTTGCATTTTGCATGCTGCTTTTGCCATGCTCCCCAGTCACAGGAGACAGCACTGGGATCTTCTAAACAGTTTTGTACTTTTTCTCACTGTTTTTCTGCTGCAGGCTTTAGGATGTGTTTCTCTAGGGCCCGGTAGTATACTGGCCTGGCATGACTGAAAGAAAACTACCCTGAAGACAGACACTTGAGCTCTAGCCCCTGTGATGCTTCTACTTGTTGGGTACCCAGCCAACCCCCCTCCTTTTTTTAGAAAAAGCTTTTCCCTGTGGGGGCCTGGGACAGGGAGCCAGGCTAGGGTCCCCACTGCTGTGCTGGGATCAGCAAAGGGGCTTCACTCCTCCCCTCTCCCAGGAAGGGGAAAGTGGCAGTGAGGAATGGGGACTGGGGCTGCATCCCATAGAGCCACAGCCACCAGCCCTGACACTGCTCTGTCACCCTTAAGGAGGAGGAGGAGGAAGAGGAGAAGGAGAGAGAGGAGGTGGTGAAGCTGCCGAGAGCAGCAAGGGAGAGAAGGGAGGAAGGGGGATGATGGCTGGAGAGTAATTATGGTCTGCTCTCTCATCAAGGTTGGAGTCACGCTTCTAAACCTTGTTTTGTGCACCATTCCCCACCTCCAGATGTTGGGCCAGCATCCAGCTAATCTTAAAGAAATTGTAAATACAGTCAATGGTTGCTCAAGTTCCCTTTTGCTTCCTCAGGGGATTGCCACAGACACTGGAGCAAAAACATCGCGCGGGACCACACTGACTTCCTATTCGGTGAACATGAGCGCGTTACGCTCCATGCCAAAACAAGCTGTAGCACACTATAGCACAGAATCATGCGTATAGTTACTTGACACTACATAGCCCATAAGCAGAGCAAGTCCACTATTCTCATGTGCCTGTGAGCAAGGCCTCAGGAGACAGACAGAATCGGACTGAAGAATAAAACAAGCTGTTGGTGGTGCTAGGTTTGTAAGTCACTCTCCCCTCTCAAAATCCAGCCAGCGTACCCAGCTGCTCCAAGGTGGTGCCTGAGAAGAGGAGGCCTTGGGGGCTTTCACACTTCCCCGCTCTTAGTGGAGAACAAAAGCTAAGACTCATTTTTGAAATAATACATAGATACCATAATTTATTAGGTATGCTAAGCATAATGAAAAGATTTATGATAAATTTTATCCTGAACAGATAGTATTACACAAAGAATTGCAAGCCATTTTATACAAACTGCTTTCTCAACACTACTGCATTTTAATTTCCTTCCAACTAGGAAACATCTTAATTTATTTGCAAACTCTTGTCTGACTAGTCCCCGTTGCAGATACTCTCCCCATTGGTCTGGTACATCTCTCATGTTTATTCAAATTTAGAAGGCAATCCGTAAAAGAGAATGGAGTTAACTGCTTCAAAAAAAAAACAGGTTAAGTCCTGTACCTTTATTAGTTTTAGCTAACCAGAAGTTTTACTAAAAAAAATTTCTACTTCTCATTCTTTGCAGCAAAGAACATCTGGCAAGGCACTTTTTGTAAAGTACACATAGTTACAAAATTGCAGATATATTACAAGCTAATAATCCTTTAGCTAAGGATTTTCCACATAGCAAAATTATCCATTTTTTTCACTTAAGAGAAGAAATGGAACATTATAAAGTTAGGATTAACAAGTCAGAAACCAGCAGAGTCTTGAGTAGACTTTGTTGCTGCAATATATTGAGGCTTGCAACACTATAGAGTACAAGATACTGAAAGGTGTTTTACGATGTGATTTTCTCTATGAGAACCTTAGTATGAGGCAGTAAGGGGTATCTATGCATTTTACAGTTATGTATGACAGTATACACTTTCCACTTTTAAAATACGAGCATCAGAGCAATGAAAAAGGGGCCTTTTAACAAATGTTTGATACCTACACTCACAATGCTCCAGCTCAACCTCTGATGTGTAGGGGAATCATACCTCTGCTTAAGTCCTTCCTGACCCTTCTAAGCTGGACAGAATTGCTGGACCAATATAACAGAGGTTTTTAAAGCCATAGATTTTGCTACACCAGATAAAAGAGGCAGATGCCCATGAAGAAAGCCACACCAGGAGCCTCTTCAAACCAGGTCTGTAGGTTGCAGGGGTGGCTTGAAATCCCCTCTGCTTCTGTCTGCTCTGTGCTGGCCCCAGCAACAGCATGCCAGGATTTTTAAGGGTTTACTGATGATCCTTGGTTACTCTTACAAATATTTAGAAATAAATACTTAGATTCCACATGGATGGGTAAAAGTCAAGATGCTGGCTTTGGTAGGGGGATTTCTCTTATCTTTTTCCTTAACCTCTCCCTACGGCTTAAGTGAATGAATGAAGAATAGAAGCAAAGCTATGAAGTGCTGTCTGACTAATTTACTACTTTTGCAGTCAGTGGATAAAGGTATTCGCCTTCTTGAAAAATATGCAAAATCTTCAGGTTAAAGATGATACATACAAAATGGTATTTTTGTGAGCTGCTTTCCTTCAGAAAGATTATATATGTTTACTGGTAGTTTAAAAAGATTTTCTGAATTTAATTAGGAGTATGAATGCATTTAAAATACAATGAAATCCACATACATTCCACTCATGGGAATGAATGAGGAAACAGAAAGTTTTTTCATTTTTAGACTTTATCTAACCAACCCACATCAGATACGGAGGTCCAAAATAGAGCAGATAACTTTATTGCAGAATGTCAGTACCATTTTTCTACATGCATTTAAAAAGTTTCCAGCCTTTTTGACTAACATCCAATGACAATATTCTGGAAAATGTAGCTGGTCTGTCAGATATCTCTGTAATACCAATGCATTTTTCCTGGCGCTTATGGAGAAGAGTAAAAATATGTGGGCTTCACATTACCCAAGATCTGATCTTCATAGTTAGGAAGGCAGCAGAAGAAGAATCCCAAGCATATTTCCATAATGGCAGTGGTCCAGCCAAAGCCATAGGCCCAGCTGAACATATTGATTCCCGTCATTTCAATTTCAGTCGAGAACTTTACTGGATAAATGACCAGGCCCATGATGGAGAACACAGCTGAAGAAACAAGAAAAAAAAAAAAAAAAGTTTAAGCTAACACCCATCACATTGCCTGCCTCAATAATACCTGACTTTATATTATTTTTCACAGAGAGCTCAAGTGTACACAGGCAAAGACTTGGATATAGAATCACCTGAGGAAAATACCAGTTCTAGTATGGCCATACCTGCACAAACTGAACTTGACATCATATACTGCCTTACCAGCAACAAAAAGCAAGCCTCCAATCCCGCGTATGAAGTTGAACCGAAGTGTGTCAATGGCAAATGCTATGATGGCCAGAGCAAAACAGATGACTAGAAGTATAAAGCCAACCAGGTATGTTGCAGCAGCAGCTCTTCCCCAGGCTGAAATCAGAAGGAAGATCGATTAGAAAGGAACAAAAAAATCCCTTGCAGAGTTTTTCTCTGGTTTATAATGAAAGGCTAATTTTAAACAAATGTGAAAAGAAGGTCAGCTCCCAAGAAGGAAAGCATGGGAGCTTTCTCTCCTCTCATAGGTGAACATTTTTGTTCCACAAGAAATCATTCATCAAGTGCAGAATGCATAAAAATGCCAGTTTTATCTTCTTGCATGGAATGCAATGGGGTTTGTGTGCAAGCTTCCTCTTTAGATTTAACAGTTAAGAATCAAGATAAAAGTGACTGTAAGGATGTAAGAATTGTCACTCTCCCTCAATAACAAATGTCATTACCACACTAGATGCCATAAAACCAGCAGCATTTTGCAGAGACAAGGAGAATTAGAGTGTCCCTGAAATAAATTAAATTCTTTCTTTAAAAAAAAAAAGGTGTTTATACAAGCACTACCACTCTGCCATGCAAATTTAAAGGTATGGCAATAGTCCACAAACGTTAAAATTCAGTGGTTTCTTCTTTTTCAGCTTTTGTTTAGCTCTGTGTCCTAAATGGTACTAAAGATTTAGAATCTGTTTTGTAGGGAAATTTGACCTCTGCTTTTGATGCAAAGTCAGAACTATTTCATTTTGAAAAGCTTGTTCAGGATATTAATACTTTCATTTTCAAATTACATAACTTTATGTTACAACATGTCAGAGCAAAGCATATTGTACTGTCATAACATCTGGAAAAAAAAACATTATTCAGTATTTTAAGTCTTGAGGGGCAACTACTGCTCAAAGATATCAAAGTGTCTCCTCTTCTGAATGTAAAAAGCCCACTTTGACACTTTTTAAATTGTGTATGTAGATCAAATAAGCAGCAAAATTCTGCTGGGCAACTACAGACTTCATCCCCTCGCCTACACTGTGTGTTTGTGAGGTGTCAGCTTCTAACCAAACATGTATGGCAGCAGTGCTGAAAAATTATCACAGCCCAAACAACCCCAACGATACTTACAACTCAACTTAAACGCAGTGCACACTCTTCAGTAAGAGTTCCCTCTGGAACTGAGTAAGGTAAGATTTTTGATACCCAGTAACTTGACAATTTGTTTCCTTTGAGCATGCAAATAGTAAAATGCGAAGTGTCCTACCTTGCCCCTGGCCAGTGTCGTGTAGGCATGAAAGCCACCATCCTGTCCCTGGTGAGTGACACCTTGGTGCTCAACCTCTCTTCCCCCAGGCCCCACACAACCTCTGCTATTAGATTAGAAAAATGGAGCTGGATTTTCCAGCTCTACTTTTCTTCCCATCAGCCCACCAAAACCAACTTCCCTTTTTGTTTGCTTTTCACCATCCTCCCTTGCTTTATGATCCCTGCTCTGTTCTAGCTATTGCACTATATTTTCAGTTTTATGTCATGTCCTTTTTCTTCTTTATGCCAAAAAGTTTCTGCCTGCTTATAGGGCTTCCCAACTCTATTATTTTTCCTGTAAACGGACAGCTGCCTGAGAAGACTGAAAGGGACAGCAAAGACATGCTTACTTCTCATTTTCTAGTCCAGTAATTTGGCCCAGACTCTTCTCTGGAGGAGTTTACTGGATTCTCAGAGGCAGAGTATGCTATGTGGAGGCACAGGCAGGAGGGCAGCACCTCAGTCAGAGTATTAAAGGAAACAGCCAGAAAGAGGAATTTCTCCTACTGCCACAGCTCAGTTTACCCTGTTAAGGATGCTCCTGCTCCCAGCCTCTCTGCTACCCCTGTAAAAGAGCAAAAAAAGGGGTGCCTGGCCATGAGAGAAGTTGCTCAGCGGTGGTGACCTCACTGCTCTTGGATACAAGAGTTATAACTTCTGGCAGAATGGTGAAATGACAAGGGCATCTAGAAGTGATGTTTTTTGTTAAGTGCACAGCTGGTGGTGGTTAGGTACAAAACTCCTGGGGAAAGGGGTGTCCTTTCCCAGAGCCGACTCGGAACGCCGCTGCCCGCCTGGGAAGTGCTGAGGCACCATGACACCTGGGGATTTTGTCTCACCTGCTGCCACCCCACTGCTGTGGGCAGCAGGCGGTCTGCCAAAGCTCAGCCTTGCTTCCCAAGAGCAGCCGATGGCAGAGCACCGTGCCCCGGCACGGGAGCATCGGCTGGGCTGGGGGCTCAGGGACTGGCAGCCGTGTGCGGTGGCACCTTGCCCATGCCACTGTCTCCCTCCTCCACGGGGCTCGCCCGAGTGTTTTTCCCAAAGTAGTGTTACAAATGCTGTGACTGTATGACAGCAGACTGGGCGCACGCCCAGCCTGCCGGGCATCGGCTGTACGGCAAGAAGAGACATGCTTGTTGCAGGGTGCTCACAACTTCAGGAGGTGTTGCTTAATCACCTAACAGCCAACTTTGTGACTCTCACTTCTACAAAACAGAAAAAAACTTAACGCTGAAAGAAAACCAGTACACAGCTTCAAGTAAGGCAATAGGAATGCGTGGAAGGGTCACTGTGGGGGTTTTTTTGAGGAATGGTACCCTGACTTCACCTGTCCTTTACAAAAAGCAGCAGCTTTCAGTATTCTAAGACCACAGTGTACAAACACCTTACCTTTCTAGGGTAAAAGGCAGCAAAAGCTTTGTGTAGGAATAATTGCAACTGTTTCTATATCGGGGATGTTTATTTTTCCTTGTGCCAGCCAGGAGCACTAGAGTAGCTTAGTCTCTTTACCAATAGAACTAAGACTTACAATTCCTTAAAAATGTCAGAATTAGAAGAATTAAATTGGTCAGAAAACACTGACAAGCGAATGGCTAATCTAGTCCCAAATATTTACTTATCTTCCAGTGTTGTGGGTTGGGTTTTTTTTCTTTTAACATAAAGCAAAAGCCTAAATTGTTCTAACTACAAAGCTTTTTCTTAAAAATGTGAAATCCAGGCCAAAGAATCATCACAGGTGAAACATCAACTCAGAGTATACTTGACTCTAGATAGAGGGCAGTTGAAAGCTGAAAGAACCTAGTCCACCTGTCATCAAATCAAAAATAGAAACAGGAGCCGAAGGTTGCAGGACATCAAGCTGAGACTGAAAATATTCAGCAATTTGTGAGATCTGTTTTCTCAGCCCACCAAAATGGCAGTGGTGTTTTGGCTGTTTAAGAGTTAAAATATACTTGTTAGAAAAGAAATGTGTGTTTATGCAAGAGTCCTCCAATACCAGCAGGATTCTGTAACACTTGTGTGCCAGTTCTTTTTCTCCTGTTTTTTGGCTCCTCTATCAGCTGACAGAACACCAGTGAACACTGCGAAAGGGTCTGTAGGAAGCTACACACCATCCGCTCTTGAAAACTCCTTCTAGCTGCCAATTTTTGGAGCAATTTTGTCTTAAAACAAGATCTTGCTGCCCTAAACAGGCAAAAGGAACCCACATTTTCATGCCCATCATAAGCAGAGCAAGGACAGTGCTTCGATTTAGAGTGGTTTGTATGTCAATCAGCAATGATTTGTGAGAGTCCAGACTACCCACAGTGAACACAACAACATGTGGCTACCGGAAAATGAAAATAAGTGCCTGTCTTCTGCCACTCCCTGCTGTGTGAGAGGACCCCTGAGCTAATTTAGAGACCAGAAAGAGCCCATCCATGCCAGTCCAGAGCTCACTGTAGTTTATGAGAAAGATAATTAGCTGTGACCGTGCACAATAATAACATAAATAGTACAAAATAATAGTAAGAAAAGCTAACTCAGTTCAGAGGTTATATGACTACCTCTTGTATTGCACCATCTAAACACATTCTGAGTGTCCTATTGCTGACTGCAGCCATAGGGAAGCTGATGGACTTCATTAGACATGCAGGACTAGGAGTGTCTCCAGTTTCCTGCCTTCCTGATTTTACTCCCTCACATGTTGTCCAGTTTGTAAAAGCATAAGCACTGTCTGTGCTTCACACATAAGGAAATAAACTTCCTTGCTCAGCAGTCAGCTGAGCCAAAACTTTGAACCACCAGATCTAGCCTTTCCTTAGCTTACTGTGTTTCATGCTCCAAATGGTGCCCTCAAAAAGAGCTGTCACGCCTTGAAAACAGCATATGAAGTCTACTACCCTCGTGACAAATACAAATTTCTGTGTTTATGGTGTATGTGGTTCAAAACATGGGAAAACATTCACAATGACGTTCTTATGTTTTTCTTGATCTGGTACCCCCAAACCACATGAACTACTGAGGCTCCCTCTCTGGGGGACATTTTCTGGAAGCAACCTCAGAGAGTTCAGAAGTACTCCTGGTCTAATCAATAACAACATACTTCTCCAAATTTTCCTTCTGGCTTGAAGCTAAATACACAGCTAGCATAGGAAAAAGAAACAAATGTTTATTGCCAGCTTACAGACACCAACAATTACCTACAGGTTCTTGCTGACTGATCGTTTTAACACATCAGCCACTGCAGTGAATTGTGGAAGGAATTTTAGGAAGGATAGTTTTAATTCAAAAGAAACAGGGAAGGGAGGAAAGAAAATGTAACAAAATAATATTTTGCTCTGTTATCCTACATACCACTAAGGGGAAGAAACACAAACCCTGCAGTTCTAGCTCCCGTCTTGCAAAGCAATTCTTACAAGAACCAAAATCTGCCATGGTGGTGATTCATCTCTGTGTTGTATATAATGAGAATGTTTCTAGGCTGAGTTTGCAGAGCTTAACCTGTTTTACATCTCTCTGATTAAAGGGAAAGAGCATTATTTTGGAAACAAAGCTGAACTCACTTAGGTTTCTCAACCTGATGTTCCTCATTAGGGTGTGGTGAACTCTGCAGAACACATGCTTCACTTTGGAAATGAACTGCTTTTGCCATGTTTTATCCATTTCATTTTTGTTCTCCTCAAGAAAGTTTCCATGTGAAAGTAAGCATGTCTGAAGCAGAACATGTGTTCTCCTTAGCTTGAATCTTAAGACGGCCCATCAAACTCATTAACCCACATCTCAGATTTATCAGCTGAAGGGTTACAAGCTGTTGGTGTATATGGAAG